CACAGTAATTCTGGCACAGAATGTTCAAGTCATCCATGTAGGCTAGGACCTTGGTCTCTTCCTTGCTTCCTCTGGGTATCTGGACTCCATGCATTCCAGGGTCCTGCCTGATGTGATTGGCCAGGGGTTCAATGGTGCAGATGAATAGGATCGGGGAGAGCGGACCCCCAACTCTATCGTGATCCGCACGCTTAAGAACCCATTGACAAGCACCTCGCTCCTTACCTCCGTGTACAACATCCGTATCCAGCCAGTGAAGGTTGAGGGGACACCCATTCGCTTCAGTTTCTTAAAGAGAAATCAGTGTGACACTGTCGTAGGCCTTTTCCAGGTTCAGGTTCAGCATCGCCACCTTCTGGCCTCTATCCCATTCCAGTTGGAGTGAGTCCCTCAGTTGCAGCAGGGCTCCATAGATCTGGCATCCTGGTACCACACACAAGTGATCCTCATGAATGAGGAACCTAGGACAGATTTAAATTGCTCGGCCAAGACTTTGGCAAGAAGCTTATAGTCAAAGTTCAGGAGGGTGATGGGCCTCCAGTTCCTCAACTCTTCCCTCGTACCCTTCTTGTGCAAGAGGGTCATGAGTCCCTGGTCCATCCCAGCCCCCTCTGCTCCTTTCCAGCTGTCCTCCCATTTCAGCCTGGATTGTGAGGAGGCAGTGGTCCAAGAAACAGACAGACGTGAAGAGGGCTTCCCTTGCCTCCCACTCCTTGGGGAGGAAGACAAAGTCTATCTGGGTTTTGGTTTTCCCTGCTGGGTCCACTTGAGTGAAATTTCCCCCAGGGCCTTGGGCTCCTTTTCCAGTGTCTCCTAGGCTGTGGTCCTCAACCAGCTGTTGCAGTTGCCTGGAGGATCTGTCCATGCCTACCCTCTGGGCGCTGCTGACTCTGTTGCCCTCACTGATGGCACAGTTGAAGTCCCCTGCGATGATTACCAGCTGGCCACTTGGCCATGTTTTCTAGAAACTCGCACCTTGCTTTTGTGTGGCCTGGCTTGTATACGCACAGAACTTCAAAACCTGTCCCATTTGCTTCTGTGGTGGCTTGCTCCTGTCCTGTTCCCTACAGCACCCCCTGCTAGGGGAGACTGGGGCTAGATTGGGGCTAGCTGAGAGCCCCCTTCACAGCCAGTGCTCATGGTCCACTCCCTACAACATCCCCTACTGCAGAAGATCGGGACTAGAGTAGCTGAGAGCTCCCTCCACAGGCAGCCCTAGTGTCCCACTCCACACAGTGCTGCCTGCTGGGAGACACAGGGACCAGCCTGGCTGAGCGCTCCCCGGTTGTAGTGCTCACACCCTAAATCCTCTAGTGACTTGCCTTCCTCTTCTCTCAGGCTTGCTGTGCATGGGTGTCTTGGTGCAGCCATCAGACACCCTGTGATTGGGGTAGCTTGTGCATTCGCTTGAGAGGGCTGAAAGGATGGGAAGGATTCTGCCCCTTTCTCCACCTGCTCCAGGGCTTCTTTGTTGCCCACCCTGAAGCCCAAGCCCTTTCCAGATCCAGTGCTGGCAGACAGAAATGGACAGTCTCTAATGGCCCTCCCCACTCTCCTGCCAGGAACCCTCTCCAACATACCTCCCTTCCCACCAAGGCTGTGACTGAGAGAGGAGCTGTACCCACCCCCTGCATTCCTGTCCAAGGCTATCTGCCTTAGGCCATCCTGATTTACGCTAGCTGAGGGTCTGGTCCTCCAGGCCCTTCCAAAAGGCTCCACCCACCTTCCTGCATTGGTGGGTCAGTCACAAGCCACAGCACAGTGCAGGCAGTATCTAGGCAGCTCAGGCCTGTGACTGAAGATCAGGCTCCCTGGAGTCAGAGCTGTCCCTAGGAGTGTTCTGACAAGTCAGTGTTAGGACAGTATCTGGGCAGCTCAGGCCTGTGACTGAAGATCAAGCTCCCTGGAGTCAGAGCTGTCCCTGAGGGTGTTCTGACTGGGCTGGGGGCAGGAGGGTCTGACCACTGTGTGCCAGCAAGTCAAGTTCATCCATCCCTTCTCTTCCAGCACCCTGTTAATCAGCATCTGTAGAGGGGTGAGGCAGGTTCCTTACCCTGGACTGCCTACACCATGTGCACACCATTATCCTACCCCCATCTCAGGCCCCCTTTGGGCAAGAGACCCTGACTTCAGAGTTGCCCAGCCCGGACCATCCCCAGCTGCCTCATGCAGACACTAAAAGCAAATGCTATTGGCCAAAAGCCAAGGGCGGGGGGGTGCATAGCAAAGGCAAAATAGATGTGTCTAAATAGCAAAGTGGCTAGATTTGCACTAAGGAAAGGGAAGCCCGCCTGGTGTGACACAGGAAAAAGTCCCTGGTCTGTACATCAGTGACAAAGCTGGGACTCTTTGTCATCTAAAGAAGGATGTGTGTTTGCCTCAGATTGGCCTGCTGGGCCAAATTCAGCCCTGGCATAAGTACAGAGGTTACATCCAGGCAATGGGGGTGAAATTCAGCTTTCTATATGAGGCAGGGGTCACATCTTCTTTGCCCTCCCCAAAAGCTCATCCCTTTGCAACCATGGCAACTAATAACCCATTATGCCGTCTGCCCTGAATCGCTTTCATCTGACCCCCATTCTCCAGTGGGAATGACAGCAGCAATGTTAAATCCCTGTGACTAATGCCACTGGGGAAGTCACTGCTCTCTTTGATGTCCTTGAAGTCTGGTTAGGTAGCAAGGGGCACAAAGGAAACTCTTCTCTCCCCATGGGCTGCTTCAGGGGAGCAGAGCTGAATTATGGACCAGGCTCTAGATTTGACCATGATTATGGATGTGGTGTTGAGCTGAATGACATGGGACGTGTTCTTCAGTTTAGAGCAGGAGTCAGGTGCCCTTCTGGCCTGAGTCTGAGACCTCAGTGGCCAGGAATAGTTTGAGTGATGGGGTTGGCTGGAGGCTGAGCTGGCAGAGCCTGTGGCTCCCTCACACCTGACCAGTCCTGTTAATGGAGCTTGCCGGAGCCATGGGCTGCTGTGGCAACATCTGCTCCAGTCCACGACCCAGAGAATTTCCAGGGCAAAGCTGAGGTGTCTCTGGAACCTGAATGCATCAGCCGATGCAGATTCCTCACTCCACAGGCCAGGCCAGCAAACCCAGCGCTGTTGAACAAGTGTATGCATGGATCTCTTCTGTCACATCGGCAGAGCCTGCAGCCTGTCTCCAGCCGTGGGCGAAGGGAGAGGACAGAAGTGGGAAATGGAGTGTCTTTGGCACACCCAGCAGGTCTTGTGAGGAGCACAAGCCTGTGCCTTGCAGCCAACAAAGGTGACAAAGTCTCCAGGTCGCACTGCCTGAAATGATGTTGGCAAAGGTTCTCAGCTCAGCTGGGTCCTGACAGGAGCTCTCCAAGGTTCAGGAATTCACAGCGGCCAGTTCCAAAATGAGCCAGACAGCCTTCCAAGGAGCATTCAGGGACACAGACATGCCTGCAAAGGGCATTTGCAAATTCTAGGCCAAATTCTTCCTGAGGTGATGACTCCCCAAAGTGAGGAGATGGAGAACATCTGTTTCTCACATACACCCTTGTCTCTGCCTGCACGACCTCCAAAAATCTCTCCCCTGCCAGATCATTGCACACAAGAGGTTCCCTTTGTTCACTCTCAGGCCTTTTCTTAGCTCAACCTGGCTGGATTACCCCACCTAACCGTAGCTACATCAAGCACCCTCAGCAAGTAATGCTTGCATGCAGCTGCCCAGGGATAAGAGAAATACTGTGGTTGGGGTAAGAAGTGGCAGGGAGAGGGGGTGTCTGTAAAGGTTCATGTTTGACACTACTAGTTATACCTCCCAGCCTGACGCTGCTCAGGATGTCATATTTGACTGTTGTCCCCTTAGTTCAGTCCTTTTCTGATGGCTCTCTGAATGCCACCCCCATTCTAAGTACAAACCATAGCCACTCTTGTACTGGCCTCTGACTTCCTTTCAGACCTGGCTCCCCTTAGATCCTTCACACCTGCTGCTTTGCTGTTCTTGTCATCCAGCCCTTATCCAGATCTGAATCGACTCCCAGTACTCACACCCACCCTCAGGCTAGATCCAAAATTCTCCCTGTCCCTCAGGCTGCCTTGTCCCTCTCTGTCACCACACCCCACAATCCAGATCCAAATTCCCGCATTGTCACACCTCTTAGCAGCTATCCCACTTCTTGTCATTCCTTCCCACCCACCCCTCAATGGAGAGCAACCAGATGCTGAGGAGCACTCAGCAAGGAAGGGCTTTCTCTCTGCACCTGGGCGGGATAGCTTCATCTGCTAATTGTTCACTAATTAGCATTAATTGTGCTCTTGTCTGCCCTGGAATCATGCAGCACGTTGAACCTGCCATCGGAAATCACAACAAAGTGCCCTTATTATCAAGACCCAATTAGGAACAAATGCACACTTCATTATCTTATGACTTTAATTTTTTGTTACTGTGAACTTAATTAATTAAAGTTCAATTAATCCTAAAATTGCCTGTTCCTCCCCTGTTGCAGATATGATGGGGTGACAAAAGGGAGGGGGCAGGGCTCAAGGACACACTCTTCCTAGTGCTCTTTTAGTATCCTGGTGCACAACACCACACTGGTGCCAACATCCTTTATCAAGCTGTGGCATGATAGTCCATTGGGGGGATCTCTGTGTTGGGGTGCTCTCTCCCTGTTTTAGATGTCAGGGGGGACGCCCCAGAAATTGGGAGAAGGTTCCTAATTTGCTTGTGGGGCAGGGAGGGTATAATGATGAAAACCAGGAAAGCAGCTTCCAAGAAAGGTAGACCAGGAACCCCCAGGGGTAAAACTAGATCATCTCAAAACTTACCTGCCGATTGAGGGCACAGATTTCAACCATAGCCTCAGGCAAGGACTGTGTCTTGAAATCCAGTAGCTGTACATTCACCTGTACATTCCCTTCTCCCTGCAGATCTAGATGGCACCACTGAAAGCCCTTGCTGACGCCATCAGCAGCAAGCCCAACAGCTGCTTCCTGAACTTAACTTCCTCTCCTCTTTTTATTCCTAGGGTAAACGTTACAAGAACTCCCTGGAGACGGTGGGGACCCCAGACTCCAGCCGAGGCCGAAGTGAGAAGAAAACCATCAAGTAGGTGCCACGGGAAAGCGCAGGAGGGGATGGAGGCTTGAGGCACAGCTCTGGGACATGGTCACTGCAGCAGGAGGCTTCCCAGGAGCAGGAATTTCAGCTCATGGAGGGTGCTGGACCACACACTCTGTGCCCCAAACCCTCGATATCCCGATACATTGCACCACCACATTGCCATATCGCCTCTTCCCCACAATGTCACCACATGTACAGTGCCCCCACAAAGCCTCAACATCTCTCAGGCTGCCCCCCACCAAACTCCACCGCATGTCCTCAGCACTCTGCAACCATCCAATATCCCCATATACTCTGCTCCTCCTACATCCCTGCTCTCACACAGTTGAAAAGCCCCCTAACACTCTACATACCCTGTACTACCACCCCTAATCACTGCCACATTCTCAACAAAACACACCTCACAGACTTTGTCCCCTCACACTCCCTGCCCCTATAGTCTTAGCATCCCACAAGTATCCCCACACATTCTGCTTCCCCATTCTCATTAAAAAATTAGGCAACTGTGATGTCAATGCTTACACAGTCAGATGGGTCACTAGTTGGCTGGAAGGCCGCCCCCAGAGAGTGGTGGTGGACGGGACATTTTCGACCTGGAGGAATGTGGGCAGTGGGGTTTCCCAGGGCTCGGTCCTCAGGCCCACACTGTTCAACATCTTCATCAACAACTTGGACGTGGCGGTGAAAAGTACCTTGTTCAAATTTGCAGATGACACTAAGATGTGGGGAGAAGTGGGCACGCTAGAGGAAAGGAATAGGCTGCAACTAGATCTGGACAGGTTACAGGGGTGGGCAGATGAGAACAGGATGAGTTTCAACACTGACAAGTGCAAGGTACTGCACCTGGGGAGGAAGAAACAGCAGGAGACCTACAGGCTGGGGAACTCCCTTCTTGTCAGTGCAGAGGCAGAAAAGGATCTTGGAGTCATTATTGATTCCAAGATGAACATGGGCCACTGATGTGAGGACATGGTCAGGAAAGCTAACCGCACCTTGCCATGCATCCACAGATGCATCACGAGCAGGCACAAGGAGGTGATCCTCCCCCTCTGTGCAACACTGGTCAGGCCACAGTTGAAGTAGTAACTGTGTCCAGTTCTGGGCACTTCACTTCAGAAGGGATGTGGCCAGCATCGAGAGGGTCCAGAGGAGGGCCACCTGCGTGATCAGGGGCAGCAAGGCAGGCCCTATGAGAGAAGGCTACGGGACCTGAACCTGTTCAGCCTCCACAAGAGAAGGCCGAGAGGGGATGTGGTGGCTGTTTATAAACTGGCCAAGGGGGACCAGCAGGCAATGGGAGAGTCCCTGTTCCCCCGAGTACTACCGGGTATAACAAGGAATAATGGCCATAAGTTGACTGAGAGTAGATTCAGGCTAGATATAAGGATGCACTACTTCACAGTCAGGGTGGCTAGGAGCTGGAACCAACTCCCAAGAGAAGTGGTGCTTTCTCCTACCCTGGGGGTCTTCAAAAGGAGGCTAGACAATCACCTAGCCAGGGTTGTTTGACCCCAGTACTCTTTCCTGCCCATGGCAGGGGGTCGGACTTGATCTACTCAGGTCCCTTCCAACCCTACCAACTATGAAACTACACCCTACACTCTCAGTCAGTGTCAACACCAAACACCCTCACACACCCTCAACACTCACCTCCTCACAGACATTGTACATTCATGAACTCTGCCTGTGTACACACATGCAAACATACACATACACTGCTCCAATAGCTCACAGACATGCCACATGCTCTGTTCCCTGTACACTTCACCATATACTCACTCAACTCAACACCAAATGCCTCACATACCCTAGTTCCACTCCAAACAGCCCCATACAGCCCCAGCATCCTGGTTCCCAAAAGATTTGACTGTCAAATAGCCTGCATCTCCTCAACTGCAAATACACTGTCTCAGCACTCCCCAGGCACCTATAAACTCAGTTTACTTTTATACAGGCAGTTCTAACTGCACACAAAGAAGTCTGCTTTCCTACCCCTGTGCAGGAGGAGGCATCAGAGGCACTACATCCTCCATCTGCTCCACCATCAGATACCCCCAGTATTGACTTGATACCCCTTCCCCAGTGAGATACTTCATATAGTCCCCAAATACCAAACACCCTCAAACCCTGTGGCCCCAAACCATCCCACAAAACTAACACTATTGACCCCTCACATTCCCTTTTACCACAAGTGCCTCACACACCTACTTACCCATACCCTTCACTACTAAATACTCACACATTCACTACTCCAGCCCTACAGCTCAGACCATGTATCCCCACACTACTTTTACACATGCACACACACACACACACACACACACACACACACACACACACACACACACACAGCCTCAGTGTCTTGCTCCCATAACACACAGCCCCATCATCACCAATTGGACTTCAGCTGTACAACTTTGTGTGTACCTCTGGCAACACCTCACAGCCTGCCCTCCCCCTTCTTCCCTGGCCCACAACACACCCCAGTGCACATATGTTGGTCTCAGCTTTCCAGTGCTGCTCCAACATGCTGGCTTTGAGTGAACAAGAGAGCCAGTGAATGCTTTGTGTTTCTCCCCATCCCTCCCTGGGCAGCAGGAAATTACCTCCCAGGAGTCCTGGTGGCTGTCCTCAATGCTCTGTTTCCTCAACGTGGGCAAAGTCAAAGCCTTTGGGCACTAATCCTAGGCATCATTGGCTTCATTGTCCCAGATGAACCATTGTCTGTGATTTATTGTCTGTTTGCACAACAGCACCCAAATCCATCCCTTTCTCCAACCCTGGCCATTCTGCCTGGAGAGGAGGAGACACATCAGAGTCCTCTCTGTCTCCCAGAAGGAGATGGAGATCCCCTCAGCCCCATAATGGAAACTGGAGGTACCTCTGTGCCACAGAAGGAGGGGGCCTCTGCGGGCCCATTTCTCACATCATTTGGGTCATGGACATTTCTGTGACTTCTCACTCATATACCAAGCCTTTTCACTCTGTGATGTGCTCTGGGCCAAGGCTGTTGGAGGGTACAGGCCAGAAGACGTTTCTTAGAGCCTGGCCTTGGCTGGGCTCTGCAGCCTCACAGTATTTAGAAAACAACATGGCATCAGAAGACATAACGGCTTGCCCTCCACATGGAGTGGTCCCCAATCCAGCTTTCTGGAGGCACAGAGCTGAGAGCTGTGCCGGCAGATGGGCTGCACACTCATGGCTGAGAAAGCCTCCTGGAATGTATGCAATGGAGAGGAGGGCATATCTGCGAGGAGAAGGGACCAGTGCTGGCAAGGGCATGCTGCAGCATCACACCATGGGGCGGTGCTGCACAATTGGCCCATATGGGGAAATTAGTCCTCCCCCAGGGCTTGCAAACAAAGCTCGACTTGAGGGTGAAGAAGAGCTTATCCCCACCTGCTCCAGTAGAATCAGACTACTGGAAACTTGGCATCCCTCGATCTTTGGTCTTTGCATCTGGGTGTAGGGCTCACTGGGAGGACATTGTCCTGGGTAGATAGATGGGTTGGTGAACGGGCTGTTGTCCTGGTGCAGCATGAAGAAAGAATCCTTGTTGGTCTGGTCCTCCAGATTGAGCTGTAAACCTTCACTGACAGAATGGCTACAGAGGCCTGTCACTTCTCCTTCCATTGCTGCCAAGGCTTTGTGGTACTCTGTGGAGAGAGCTGAGGCAGGGCCTCCACCTCATCCCATTATGACCAGGGCTGTCCCTCCAGGGCTGCTGTTACTGTGCTATTCTGGCTGGTGGATAAGGGAGGGAGGAAGGGAGGGAGGGTGTGCATGGGATCCTTGGCTGGATGGGGCCTTGCCTTATATCAGCCCACAGGTGTCACTGCCAGTCATTACGAGTACCTGTCGGGTGCTACAGTCGTGGGTAGCACATGGGCTGCTGAGGACTGAGGTGATGGGAGGATAGGGTAAAAGGGGTGTCACTCTGGCCTCATTGCTCACTGAGGAGTCATGTGTGGATTGCCTTCCCCAGAGAGGAGCCACTCCAGGGCCAGTGAGGGAAACAGGAGAGAGATGAAGAGTGGCAGACAGCATGGGAGGCTGCCCCTTCCCTCCCAAATACTCTGCCCTCCACCCAAAGCACTCTATCTTCCATCCCAAATGCTCCCCCGCCACCTCCCCCCAGCACCTTCTGCCTTCCCTGGAGGACAATGCGTCCTCTCCCCTCTTTCCTGGGACTCACGGGCTCACTTTCATATAGTCATGCCAGTCCCAGCACCAGGAGAGGCCTCTCTGGGGGGCTTGCTCTCCAACCTTCAAGTGGCTGGCATGTTAGTCAGAGAGGCTTTGTCTCCCTCCCTTCTTCTCTTCCCTTTTCCCTCCCCTCCTTCCATTTCTCCCCGTTGCCTACTCCTCCCCTTTCTCTTTCTCTCTTTTTTCCTCCCTACCCCCTCCTCCCTGCCCTGCTCTTCTCTCCATCTGGTGGTGAGTGAGCCTGGCGCTCCCAGGTGAAAAGCAGCAGCTCTCCCGTCCGACCCCCCTGGGTTGCCTGCCACCCCCCTCTTGTAGGCCTTTCATCTCCTTCTTTGTGTTTTGAAAAGGCCTGCATGAATCCGTTTCATGCTGGAGCCGTAGGAGGGCTGGAGGAATTAATGAGGGGAGCTGGGGCTGAGTGCAGGCATGCAGCCTACCAAGGGCTTTTGAAGTCTTTGATAAATTTGCCGCAGTACCACTTGACTTCAGAGGCACTGCTTGCTGCTCTCACGTGCTTGGGGTCAGAGCTAGGAAGCCATTGACAGCTTTCTGGAGTCAGGAGACAGTGGTTAGACCTGGTTCCCATCTTATCTCTCTGTGGTGTCAAGTGACCTATTTAGAGTCAAAGAACCGTACAAGGAGGTTAAGTCACAAGGCACCCCCCACCCCTGCCCCTGCCACCTCCCCAGCTCCCTCTACACTGCCAGGTAAAGAAATAAAGCAGGGGTTTGCAGAGTCCAACCGTCAGGGGCCTACTGATCAATGCCAAAAAGGGTTAGCCTAGGTCCAGAGCTTTTAGGAGGGGAGGGGTTCACATTAGGAGCAGGGAATTAGTAGTTTTGGATCTTGCAGGGAGGGAGTTGCACATCTGGACTGGGGGTGTCAGCAACTTTGGATCCTGCAGTGAGGGGGTCACACATCATGAATAAACTGTCATGATCTGTGGGTCCTCCAGAAAGGGGTTGCACACCTGTGGCCAGGTGCCAGTAGGTCTAGACCCTGCAGAGAATGCTCCCCATTGCCCCCCATCTGCAGCAGGGAGTTTTTCAGTGTTT